GGTTGCATCTGTTCCTAGTTCGAGTTTATGGTGCTGGCCACGCCTCTGGTTCGTCATATGCATTTGCACAGATTACTAATCGACTCTTTGTCTTCATTTGATGGCTTCGGGTTTTAATTATTCGAGAAATGGTTTTCCAAAACAGACCGGGCCGCCGATGAGATGGAGAGCCCGCATATCTTAAACGTTCCGTTGTGCTATGATGGTGTCTCGAGCCCATTTTCAGGTGTCTGTTAATTTGTTTCTCCCACCCCCCTTCTCTCCCATTCCCCTTTGCCATTCCCATTCCCTATCCCTCCACCGCCCGTTGGGACTGCCTTAAACTCGTCTGCGTCCATAGTTGACCCTCTTCGTCTTTGTTTAACAACAAATGCTTGACTTGGGCCAAGGTGTTAAAGCTTGTCTCCGCTCTACGGGCCTCAGCGCGTTTTGAGTTTCCATTTTTAACCATTTTTTGGGTTTCGAGAACCGCTTTCCTTCTTAGACTAGTTCGGCTCGTAGGCTTTATAATTTATGATATTCGAATGGTTTCTATGAAATGCTCTGTGGAGCCCAGAGATTGCCACAGATTCGGGGCCGAGGCATGTCTGATTCGGTTAGATGGGCAGCGGAATTGGCTCGGAGGAGGGTTGTCGGCCGGGTTGCATGCATTTATAATTCAATCACGAGCAATTAACTAGGAAAATGCAGGAAAAATGCACGCATAGCCTGACGAAGAACAAAAGACTTAGGCAACAAACTTGAAATTTCATTACTTTGCATAACCGCCCCGCCTCCTCGCTCCTCTCTCCCTTTGCCTCCCTTTCTTGTGCGTTTTTGACAAATTTGTTTGAAAATTTCCAAATTGAAAAGATTCATTCATCAGCGGGCCGCTCGCATCATCATCATCAAGGCAGGCAGAAAGGCAGGCAGGCAGGCTGGTTGGTTGGCAGGCAGAAGCTGGGCTCAGGCTATGTTTAATGGATTCCAACAGCCCGTTCGTCTTTGGGTCTTCGGTTTTTCGGTGCCCACACCACTACCGCTGGGATGAAGCTCAAAGGTCCCATGTGCGATCTGACCCATTGTCGTTATAAATTAGCGCAATCAATCAACTCACTTCACCTGATTCGGCTGTAGAAGCGAGATAGCAGCACAACAAAAAGATTCCAGACTCCAGATTTGAGTTTTCAGTTTTCAGTTTTTGTGATTTGAGATTTCAGCCAAACGAAAAAACAGGTTACCGGAGATGCAGATAGATAGGGCCAGCGAGAGGGGCCAATGCCATGTCAGATAGATCAGAACAAACCCAGACAAATTTCGGCACTTCGTCAATGTCAAAACGACGAAATCATTGACCAGTTTTGTTAAATTAATCAGCGAAATCGTCTAATGGTCCCATCGAAATCCCATCGCTTCGAGTTCCAGTGACTAAAATCAAAAGTTATGTTTTAGCTGGAAATGTTCACTCGGGGCTTATCGCACTCTCTCGTTTGCCTATCAAACTATCCCAACCTATCCAGACTATCGACCTTTCATCTCTTTTTGTTCTTCCCGGGCCAATGTTAACAAGAGGAGACTCCCAAGAAAAGGCCGTTAAGCATCGCTCTGGTCATCCCCAGCCCCCGATGTTTTTCAGGTGTAAAATGAAAGAAGGTTTTTCATCAGATCCCAAAAGTGCCGACCATAAATTTCCAGTTGGTAAACCTTTTTCCATATAATTTTCCCCATGCCCCCAAGGGGTTGCACTTAACCGAGATGAAAAGCGATTCGACTCAGAACTCTCCCTTTCTTCACCGTGCCTGCCATTGGCCATTGTCAGGATTATGATATGATATGATTCAGTTTCGATTCGATTTGCCGGCTCAATGCTTTCTTTTTACGAGTGGGAAATGTTTTATTTTGATGGCGTAGTGTAAGGTGTTCTACAGCACATCAGCACAATGTCTCGCATTATGCTCACCACAATGGAGTTGACTGTTCGGATGGCGAAGTGCCTTCAATATGATTCCAGGTCGCTGGTGCATTGATTTCTTTTTATATACATATATTTCTTACGTAGCTGCAGGTGCGGAAGCAATTTGTTTAGAATTTTCGCTGTAAACGCACCAGCAACTGCTACAAGTTGCTGAGAGGCACTGCGGACATTAAATAAAAGCGAAAAGAGTAAACACACAACACGAGAAAATATTGCATGCAGCTCTCGGTCCTCGTATACCATATGCCATATAGTATGGAGTATGGAGTATGGAGTACGGTCGCCAGTGCTTGTGAGCATACAAATATGCAAATTATTGTGCACACAGCGACCACGCCAACAGCCAACAACCAACAACCAAACAACCAAACAACCAACAACAACAACAAGGAGGAACTGGCAGATTTGTTTGCCCTGCCAGACAGTCAAGTAAAAAACTGAGCCAACGACTTGATCGCCGCGCAACTAGCCAGGATGTATTGGCCAGGCCCAGTCAACATACGGCTAAAATATATGGGCCTGAACTTGAAATTTTTATAGTCGGAAATTAGTTCGAAGGAGTGAGTGTACAAGTAGTTTCGGGATATCTAATATGCAAATCATTTGTATGCCCTACAAACATTCTGGTCCGGCACAGAAAGCGAACATTATTTTTAGCACTTAAAATTTAAGAGTATTCCCGTTGCTTTTATTATTTTTTACACTATTTGGGCTTAACCAAAATTCTATTTATTTTATAACCATTCCGTTACTCAGTGTATACTAACTTTAATAGGTTTCCCAGTCGCGGAACAATAGAGTTTTCAGGTCAGGGAGTTAAATAAACGGTCAAAGTAACTTGAATCCCAGTTCATAATATGTTAAGCAATAATTCGTTGAATTACCCTAAGTACAAACTATTACGATTAATTTTTATGGAGAAATACAACTGAGTTCTGAGCAACATATTTACAAAACTTAATAATAATAGCTGGGTGAAACCAAATTCAAACTTCATTATAAAATTATTTGGTCAAGTTATTATATAAGCTTGGCTAAATTCTTTTAGTTCATTAAATGCTTGACCAAGTCTTAGCCTATTAAGTACACAAGGTACCAAAACAATTTTACAAACTAAACCATGAAAATTGTAATTTATATAAATAGTAAAATGAATCAATCTATGAGGTTGGAATGAAAGGACTGTGTTATTTTTGGGCAAAGTTTAATAAAGAGATCGCTATAATAGCCTCACGAATACTTTTTAAACGAAAATCAAAATATATCTATTAAATTATTAATACAAAGTAATAATAAAGTGTTCAAGTTATTATGAGCCACAGTTATTGGTCAGTAAAATATAGTTGTGTTTTTCTTGTGCCACAATGTTTCAAAAGCATTTTAATTTCTTATATTAAGTTAAATTACATTCTTTGCCTCAGAATATTCATTGATAATCCGGTTCACACAACTAAAACTTTATTCTGGGAAGATGGTTATGAACGCCATTAACTTTTAGGATCTGTTAGCCTCGAATCTAGATCAAAGAAGTTAATTGTTTTCAATGTGGCACCTTTTCAAGAGCTTATTTATGTGCTCATATAAGTTATACTTTGATCAGATGTATGTATTATTTACAGAATTGCGAGTCAACGAGAGGCAATTAGAAGTGGGGGATTAGCATTAGTGGCATTACGTTTTACGGGGCCCTCGGGCTCTATACGATCCAGTCGTAAAGCGTTTTCCTTTCATTCGCCAGTATTAATAAGTTCATAAAGCCGGTCCGTGGATGTTTTCATATTTGTATGGTGTTTGCAGTTTTTGGCCCATAAACCGTGTAAACTGTAAAGTGTAAACAAAGACGCGGTTGGTGGGCGCATTGGATCTGCGAGACTGTGAGACTGCGCGTTGTCCCATCTCAGGTTGCTCTATCTCGGCTCCTACGTTATTCCGTTCATCTCAATTATATTGTTTTATTATGGTTTCATTCTGGGTAGAGATGGCCAGGCCCCTCCAAGCCACCAAGTCACTACATTGTACGGCCCGGAGCGAACCGAAATGGTAAGACGATATTCGAAAATGAGTTCTGTGGCCGGGACGCGAAGTGGAGAACGTGTTAAAGTCACAAGTTCCCTAACACGTCTTTAGGTTATTTGATATATTTATTAAACTAGCCGAACGCCGAGCTCTTTCACTCTGCTGGATATACTTTATCTGGCGCGTCCGAAACGGGTTATCAAAATATCTGTGCTCAGCTGAGGCGTGAGTTGATTAACTCTCGGCTGAGCCACATTTTTTGGTAGTTAGCACACGGGGATAACTATCCGCCGAGTGGCCATGGCCATGGCCATGACTAGTCCCAGCCAGCTCCATGCCGCTTGCACCACTTGGTTCATTTCATTTTTATTTACGTGAACTACTCTGGTGTCCAATAAAATATACGCAGCGAAATCAGATGCAAAACGTGCGACAGGGAGGCAAGAGATTCTCAGCATCTTGTCGCTGAGACACGCGGACGCACTTAATGAGCAGCGATCTTAAATCTTAAAGTCAGACAGGGGCGGCGGGCCAAAGGGGGGGTTCTTCGATGGAGACGTTGTATCCACAAGAGCGTGTATCTCGAGCCCATGTATGTGTGTGTCTGTGTGGAAAGTATCTGGAACTGGCTCTGGCGGGGCTTCATCTTTCTGCACTCGAGCTCTGGAGATCTGAAGAAGAACTGGAGGTCTGGAGAGCTGGGGAACTCGGGGAACTGGAGAACCAGGAGAGAGGCAGCTCTCAAATGCTTATGAAGATATTATGAAAAGCAGCACAAGATTCAGACCCCTCTGTATGTGTGTGTGTGTATCTGGAAGTGGAGCCTGCATTATGTGGCAAGTTCCATCTCCATCTCCAACTCCATCTCACCTGCAAAAAAAGATCAATGACAATTTATTGTCATGACTATGTAAGTTCTCACAGGCGCAGGCGTGCTCAGATAGCCAGATACTCGTGTATCTGCATCTGCATCTGCATCTGCATCTGTTGGATGCTTTTCCATATTTCAAAGTGACATTCGACTGGCGCATTTCGTTCGGTATATTTGTGGTTTATTGGTTGTAAAAGGTAAAATGAAATCTACTTAGGCTGGTTCCTTAGACAAATATCACACACATTGTTAACGCTAGCTAGGCTTAGTTTATACAGATACATTTACGGATAGGTAATCTTAATACTCATGCATAGAGTCTGGCATTTACAAGTTAGGTATTTTAGTTCAACTCCAGTGGATCACCCCTTAATACTCGGATCTCCTTTGGGGGCAGTGGCGTGGTCAGTTAGATCTCCTTAAGAATATATTTTGCAAAGACTCTAATTAGGTTAGATTACAATTTGATGGTTCAAAATTAAAGGATATTAACATTTTTCTAAGACCCCCCTTTTGAGATTTGCCACTGACCAAGCCACTGACCCCTTGACTACCACTATCCCGATCCAGATGAAGATGCATCCACTGCTGCTCCGGTATTTACAGCTTATCAGTCGTGTTGGGAACTACTGGCTACTGCTCCAGATTCATTAGCTGCCCTGGCACTTCTGCACCTGTCCCAGCACCCGATCGATGCGCTCCACCAGGATCTTCACGGACTTGTCCGGCAGTGAAGGCAGCACATCCCGCACTCCGGCACTGGTGGTCCGCTCGAAGAGGTCACGCAGTCGTCGTCCTGCTCCCGCTGCCCGCAATCGACGCAGTGCCTCGATAGTGGGCCGCCGGAAGACGCACAGGTTGTCCAGCAGGAGGCTGTGGTATGCCTCGTACTTCTTCAGCAGCCGGTAGCCATGGAGCAGGCCACTCTCGTTGTCCAGGAAGACGAGCAGCTGCGAGGCGGACTGGCGGGCCAGATTGTGAGCCGGCGCGGCCATGATGTCGGCGTTCCATTGGAAGTTGTACAGGTTATTAACCACCCGATCGAGGTTCGCGATCAGGTAATCGAAGACGATTAAATCGGACCATTGTGCCAATTCAATTAGTCGCTGCACCAGCGCTCCGCTGGCAGTGGCCGTTGCCGTTGCCGTTCCTGTTCCTGTTCCAGTCTCTGTCTCCTCAATCGCACTTGATTGATGAGCGGAGCCCGGCGAAGTGGCAGCCCCCAACCGCTTGAGTAATCCCTGTGTCTGCGCCGGCCTTTCGGGCTGCATGTGCCGCGTCAGGTTCCAGACGTCGTGCTTGTTGAGGTGCCGCTCCAGCGGCTGGAAGGGCTGCGGTATCCCGGCCGGCTCCAGATCGGAGAGCCAGCGGGTCAGCACCACCGGACGTCGCTCCTTCCACTGCGCCTGCGTGATGTCGCCCAGGGCAGCGGACCAATTGGGCGTACTGGTGTCCACCACTGTGGCGGCACTCGGGGCCAAATTGGTGATGTTCAAGAGTTGACCCAGATAGTAGCTGAAGATCTCGCCCTGGATCTGATCCGTGTTCTGGCGGTAGCGGGCACAGGCCCGAGTTCCATCCGCAAAGACCACCAGGCGGTTCTGCATCCGTCCGCAGCCCTGCTCCAAGCGGACCACTCGTCCCTGCTCGCCCACAAAGCGCTCCCAGGTGAGTTGGTCCTTCGAGGCGAATCCCTTGGGCAGAGCCTGCTCCACAGTGGGTCCCCAGAAGACGTCCTCCTCGATGAGGCCTGCCTGCGGTTCGGTGGAGGGACTTGAGGATGGGGTCGAGGGGGAACGAGGTTTCTCCTCGGGCTGAACCCTCTCGGGCACCTCCTTAGATAGCCTCCTCTCCGGTCCCTTGCGATATCGTCCACTGGCCGTGCGCTGCACATGGAACTCCTTGATGCTGTCGTCGTTGGTGTCCAGTTTCTTCACCACCATCGAGTCCGGGGCATCCTTGTCCTGCTCCAGATGAAAGGCATTGCGAAAGACCTGCTCGGCACTCAGCTCGGCGTCCGCCTCCTTGATGAACTCCACGCGGTACGAGCTCAGTACGGGCTCCACGGCAATGATCTCCTCCGGCAGATCTGGCGGGGTGTCCGGATGGCGGGGCAGGCCGAACATGGGCACGACCACGCCCAGTGCCATGCCAAAGACGAAGGCGGCCAGGATGCTGAGCAGGCAGGCGCGCCGCTGCAGCGATCGGCGCCGTCGCAGCGTCAGCAGAGTCATGTGGGTGGCCTCGCTGGGATTGGGATTGGGATTAGCCCGGTTCTCGGGCGCTGCTATCACGCTGCAGGTGAGTTGCTGGTGCTGTTGGTGCTGTTGCTGCTGATGATTCTGCTGCTGGCCGCTCAGGTCAAGGCCCAGTTGTTGCTGTGCTTGCTGTAGTTTCTGCTGTTGTCCCGCTTCCAGGCGCTTGATGTCGTACATTTTGCCGGCGAGCCGAAGATCCCGATCCCTAGTTCCCTGTTGAAGCCCAGACCTCAGGCTCAAAGTTCAAGCCGCGCATGGGGGCCGGGGATGGGGGTAGTCGGGGATTCAGGGGGTGGTGCAGTGTTGCAGCGTTGCAGTGGTAGTGCAGCCTCACAAAATCGTGAAATTAATTTCTGTCTTTGTTTAATAAATATCGATGGTTCTCGGTTGTTGCTGGTTGCCAGTTGCTGTTTGCTTCGTCCTCCGCTGGCGTTGGCGACTCGGAGACCGGTTCGAATTTTTCCTCTACGATTTCCACAATTGAAATTGAAACAAAAACCCAGAAACGTGCTCCTCCTGCTGCAGCTCCTTGATCGCTCGCTGATCGTCGCTCGTTTATTTATTTTTATACTCTCCGCTGGATCGCGACGCTTTTTTCGCTTTTTTTTTTTCCTCCTTTTTTTTCGGGTTTGAGTTCGGTTTGGGGTTTGGGGTTTGGGTTTATCGATCTATTTTCTGCACGATCACTTGCTGTAATTTTTTATTATACATTTTTCTGGCCGTTTGTTTGTTTGTTTGCTGGCGTTGTAAGCCCGGCGGGTTAATATTTTGTGGGATCGCTGTGCTGGCCGGCCTGCCCTTCAGCTAAACTGTTTCTCTTTTTGTTTTTAATTTCTGGATTTGTGCAGTTTGGCGATTTCGGTGCGCCGATAAAAGCAATTTCGTGGCTTTGAGCTATTTGCCACACCAGCTATATATATATGTATATATATATATATACAGACTGGCACACACTGGCACACACACACACTTTGGCACTCTGGTGGGTTCGCACTCGAATTCCCAGATTCCCGATTCGCCCCGATAATTGCCCGCGAAGAGCAAACAACGCGACAAGTTTTGCTTTTGCTCGACGAACGATGTTTGGGCCCAGGAAAAAGACAAAGTCCTAGGCTCCGCTTTTTAGGCTTTATCAATTTAATTTCTTGTCTCGCACCTCGACTTGCTTTTATTTCGCCTCGCTTTATTTTAGGCTTTTTGTCCGCATTCGATCGTGGTCGCTGCGCACCGAACGATGTGAGGAATTTTTATGCCTCCGCTTTATTTATTTCGCTGTCTATGTGTTTCACTCCTTGCGACCCGTCGTCTCGTTCTGCGCGATCTTCAGTTCGAACGCGTGTTTAGATTGTCGCACTGTATCTGAATCGGAACCCAGGTTCTTGTATCTTGTATATTGTGTCTTTTATCTTGTATATTGTTTGTTGTATCTTGTTTCTGACGGATGTGCGACTGCGCGCCTGCGTACCGCTCGCTTCGAGATTCGCTGACAGACTGGCGGACGAGCGGCTCTCGCCGGGCTTAGTTAAAGACACGCGGCTGAGCCGATCTGGCTCTCTCTCCCTCTCCCGGATCCTTGGCTTCTTGCCGGTTTTGAGTGGAGTGAAACTGGTACGCTCCATTCTCATTTTACACCTCTCTACATCAGCTCTCTCAAGCTGAAAATAACAAAATAAATTGAATAGACCCAAAACAAAAGGAATTATTTTTAATAAGACTTTTAATTATTGAGCCCGCCTTTGGGTGTGTCTAGAAAAAGTGTTAAGACCATTATAATGTTGATTAAACGAATATGTGAAGATTGCTTTAAGAAGACTGTATTGTTTATAAACACTAACTGAGAAGCAAACCAATGTTAGATAAATAACAATGGGAGACTTATACTTATGAAAAAAAAATATTCGGCAAAAACCAATTTTAATAAATTCGATTATGCTTAATTCCTTAAGTTTTAATATAATATTTTTTAATAAATAAAACAATAGGATAATATTCAAACCTTTTTGTTTAAAGATTTCAGAAAGAAATAATAAATACGTTTTTATCTGAAGTCCTCTGCGATCTATATATTAAATCTATATATAGACATGATTATATCTTCTAACAAAAGAGAATGTAACACAGAGATTTTATTTTATTTGGGGACTGCGTTAAAAAAGATTTCATTGTGCTGATAGATTAAGAAGAAATTAATATTGTATCGGCTTCGCGTAGATGGAATTATTTTTAATTTCATATAAGCCACCAGTAAGCTTGACTACAAATGCTAGTTCATTGCCTGCATAAATTTTTCCAATAAAACTATAGTTTGACAGGGGCAAGTATTGTGGAACATCTTCCGAACCGATTTTCAATTGCCTTACGGCCAATATGGAGTTCTAGACAAAAAAGAAAACACTTTAAGTTACCGTAGTTATAAATATTAGTATTAAATATTTAACACTTACTTTCTTGAAGGGACATTTGTCTGGAAAACTAACTATTGACTTCCGAATAACATTGTAGTAAATCCCTATTAAAGAAACTTTTTCCGTGTTCTTTTTTAGGCTACAAAAGTCCAATTTTAGATTCCTTACACGTATCATCTTTTGCTGGTTTTCGGGAAAGATCTTCGCATCGCAAACTGCCGTAAGTTTGTCAACTGCTTTCTGATCACTAACAATCGCCAAAATGTTCAATGCCAGCCGCGAATGTAGCTGACATTCAACCTTTGAAAAGACTTTGTTCCTCATCGAGCAATTAATGCTGTTGAATATTATTTCCTGAAAAGTATAAGCATGCATAAGGAAAACAATGTAAAATTAAAATATATAAAACTAGATATGTAAGAACTTAAAATCCTATCCGAAAATACAATAATTGAATTATAAAATGTTGTAAAAAAACTTTAACAACAAATTATAATTTGAATGTACAAACCTTTTTAGTTTCCCCGACGGTGACTAATATCCACACCAAAAGGGCCATGGCCGAAAAGATATGTTTGCTTCGATACATTTTACAATACTGAAGTCTAGACTGGCTGTATCATTTCATGAAGTATTTGCAATGAAACACTTAAATGGGTCATTTCAATGATAGATCAGATAATAAGCAAAATTATCAAACCTATTCGGCTGAATCGATATCAATTGCCAATTGAAGTACATGTGCTCGTATTTTGACATTCTCATGTAGATAATCATGTATATTTACTCTGAAGAGCTGAGAGCTTGATTTCCACTCAATTCACCTGAGCGAGCAAAACACCTTTTGAGAAACCTCTGGGAAAGATAGAGAGAGAGCGCATTCTGTGGGAGGCATTTTGGAGTGAGTGTTGTTGTTGGCAATGTTGATTTTTATGCTCAACGCGGCACATTTGCTGCGCCACATTAAGAAACTAGAATTCGTCCCGAAGAGAGTGGTTCGAGGAGCCCGGGGAGGCGCTCCGATAACGATTACGTAGTGGGGAGCCACTCACGGCGACTTTCAGGCACTTCCTTCTGAAAAAGAATATCCTTAAAGCAGAAAGGTTTCAAACAAAAAGTTATACAAAGAAGGAAATTATAAACTGGGAACTTTACGTTAAACTTAAAACTTGAAAGTGACTCAAGGTGTCAATCTATTTATGTTGATGAGAACGTTAAATATACATATCTAAATATGGCTTCGGAAAGTGCCAAATATTATGTTCCTCCAATTCGCTATGACTTTTTTTAAATATTCAAAAGCTTGATAGTCACTAATGCTAAAAAACTATTTCTATTGGTGACAAATTGACAAATGTATCTTAAAAAAAATATTAATGATAACATTAAATATGGCTTTGGAAAGTTCCAAACATTATGTTCCGAAAATTCCCAATGACTTTTATTTAAATATTCAAAAACTTGAAAGGCTAAAACACTTTTTTTATTAGTGACAAATTGGTAAAATATAACTACAAACTATTCTGATGAGAACGTGAAATATGGCTTTGCAAAGTGGCAAATTTTGTGTTCCACCGATTCCCGTCGGCTTGAAATTCAATAATGCAAAAAAACTTCTATTAGTGACAAATTGACAATATATAACTTAAGAGATGGTGGTACGGGAAAAGTTTTATCCACAAACAGATTCTTATGGTTTTCTACAACAGTTTTAAATTTAAATAATCGTAATCTTAAAAAGTGCAATATTTTAGGATGTGTTAAATAACATATTCCTTAATTCCCATTAAGCTTTTCTGCGGCTTCTGCCTAAAGTGTGAGAAATAGAGAGGATGGGAAGACCCTACCTCATCAGGATTATCATCATTTTTCGGAGGACACAAAAGGGAGAATTGCAAAATACCCAAGGAGCGAATGGAACGAAAGAACGAAGGCAGAAAGGAGAGACAAACACAAGTAAAAATGGGATAGTTGAGAGGATCGACATTTCGATATCCACTATTATTTATAGTCCCTCAGAAAAGTAAGTTAAAATCTAAATAAAATGAAAGCTGATACCAAGTTTCTTTAATAAATCTCAATAGTTAAACGGGCAATATCAATTTCACTTCCTCCGATTAACTTGACACTTTTAGAGATCAGCTCATTATCGTTTATGACCTGGAACTTATAATTTTAAACCTAAAAGCCCATTACTTCAAACTCTAGGGCATAAAAATGATACGAAACGCTTTTAGGGTGATATCAAAATTATAATAATTGACCATCCGAAGAGCACGAATATTGTAAATTGTTAAATGCCCTAGAAACGCCCTGTATTGATATGCTAAATAAATATTTAAATACATATTGATAAGTTATTCGTGGCCAAAATTCATATACCCTCGTCGGGCTGGGTACGAAAACAGTTGGAAAAAATATGATCAAGGAATGTAGACATAACTTGACAGCGTGCTTAGAGAATTTCTACTCGGGCCCGAGGACAGAGTCGCGATCTGAGAAGACTCCGCTCCGAAGAGTGGGAATAGTCGGAGGAATCGGGAGAGTCGGGGAGAGGAGGCGTCCGGCAGAACGAAGATAACAACAACTTGGGGCCGCTGCATTCTTCAGTGTCTGCGTGAGAGAGAGAGAGAGAGTGAGTTGGTGAGAGATCCAACCGGGTTTTTTGACTCAGAATTGGGCTCACGATTTTTCGGGTGCAGTTTAATTTAATAAAGTGAGAGCATGTTCGGGCCTAATTGAATTTGCAGCGATCGAACCCGAAATCGGCGCTCGTATTGGCCAGCAAACAAACATAAAATCGAATGGATGAAATTTCCATTCGAAAAATCCACAATGCACAAGTTAATTATGCGCCAGTCGAATTTGATGTCTTTTTGAGAAGGAAAAAAAAAGCTTTTAAGTGGGATTTTGTTGGGGAATCGAACATTATCAGTGGAGCGCCATCAATTGGGAATTTCGCCGCTTCAAAGTTGACTCGGTTTCCATTTTGATTTGTCGCTGTTTCTGTGGCTTTTTATTTGCCATATGCCCCGCAGTAATGTGTCTGTTGAAATCGTCAGTTTAAGTCAAATTAATTAACATTAATTTTTGTGGCTCGTTCGAGGCATGAAATCAACCGGGTGGCTGAGCTCAGCTCAGCTCTGCTCTTTTCGTTTCTTTGGATGTGTGTAAAATTAATGTCTGTTTTGATGATAAATTGGAACTCGTTGGTGCTTTGTTTTATAGATTTCATTCCGGACTGACTCTTGCCAATATGGTGGGAACTAACGAACGGCTGGTGGTCGCTATAGTTATAGTTATGCCTTGGCCAGCACCATGCCCAGAGGTTAATCGAATTAAACAAATACCTGACAGAGAGCTGAACTCTTTGAAAAATGATCTATTATGGGACGGCCGTGTAACTGTGCCCTGTCTTCTCTGATGGCCTGTTGATGGCTGCCCCGGTCAGTTCGTTGCCTAAGTCTTTCGTTGTGGGAAACACACACATGCGAACACAAGAGACACTTTGCGGCCGCTCAGCTCTCGTTTTAATTATTTGCAGGCTACGTATAAATTTCAGGCCAAACGAACAGCCAAAGAACCCCAAAAAAGTTAAGTAAAGAAACGGGGAAACACACTGAAAGCAAAATCAATTTAAAGCTAAATTATGGCTTGGAAATGAAAAATGAATCAGTCAAAGGTGAGCAGAAAACAGAAATATCTATTTTTGCGGAACATAATGTGGCATTCAGTTAGTTGTAAATGTAATGAATGACATTTTAAATTGGTAGGAGTATTTCAGTTAAACTCAAATCAATTTCATTGCTCAAATGTTCAAATTATAATAAGTATGTACACAAATGTTATGACAATTATATTTGAAATAAGTCTAAAAAAATTCTTCTATTTTATGTATTTTAAAATTAAATATTTAATTAAGCAGCTAAGAAGAAATACAGAAGGTATTTACACAGGTATTTTCACAAAGTAAAAGGGTGGAAAACATAGGCCAATCTTTATAAAATCACATACTCTCAAATCTTACAAAAATTGTTTTTTTTTCTTCAGTGCAGAAACAGAAACGGAAAGCATTTGGCGAAGTTTGTTAAGCGCAAATTCCTGGGATGTTTGCAGTGCGCAACAATTTGGAACATTTTGTTGAACACAAGAGGAGCAAACAGAGAGCAGCCAGCGGAAAAATGAAGTAAAAAAGCCACGTACATCACCTTGTGGTCAACGAAAGTGAACTGTGAAGGACATGAGACACGGGCTGGTGCCCCGCCCCCTCCTTTGGCCGCCCTATTTACACTGGGCAGTCGGAAACTGGACGGAACTCGAGTGTTAGCTGCCTTTGTTTGCTCTGCTAGATTCCAGACCACTCATCCTAGACCCAGACGCTGGCGTCGTCGCTGACGATGACGACGTGGACGCCTTGGACGCCTTGGACGACCTCAAGAGGCAGGAACTCACTCACTGCACCACACTGCATCCAGTATCTCCTGGCACCTCGCCCTGGGATATCGTCACGGGCCGTCAGCGCCTCCATCCACACGGATCCTAGTCCCAGTCGCACTTGAGCCTCGGCATCAACCGCATCATCCAGCGTTATAGTCACAGTCGCAGTCGCAGTCACATCCCCATCCACATCCCCATCATCGCCACTTGCCACGGACTGTGGCTGCGACCTCGACTGTCGCGCCATCAACTTGGATGGGGTCTGCTCAAGCATCTCTGCAGACAGCAGGGTACAGTGGGTCCAGGGATTCTAGGATAAATAAATGGGTACACTCATATAACATGCAACAAAAAAATGATATACTTTTTCTTTATAGCCAACATTTTTGGGAATAACGATCTAAAATATGTGTTTAGCCCATTTATTTTGGCTCATTTGTTCTACAAATTTCAAGACCATATATTGCCTTGGCTTAATTTAAAATTTTTCTTAATTCTTAGTTCATTATTCCTGAAAAATGTGGTTAATTTGTTTTTCTGGATGTTGATTCTATAAGTTAGAAATCCTATAGATTTGCTATAGCTATGATAACTACAAGCAAGTGGTGATTCTAACTTTGCGATCATTTATTAGTATAATTATACAAGGGTAGTGGTACCACAAGGATATACAAGTAAGTAATCCTATTTTAAACAACAGGCAACCACTGTTTCGGGTCAGAACAATATTCCTAGTCAGATCCAGGGTCTGTGGCTGTGGTACTAGGTGCCAGGGCCTGACCTGAGTTAAACAAATTCATTAAAAACTCGTCACTTTGCGCAGATCACGCTGACTTGGCACATCTTGGCTGGGTGCCCATCCATCCGCCATCCATTCTCAATCCTCGTCCTCTGGCTGCAGTCCTCCACATCCACGTCCACATCCACATCCATGCTGGCTGGATCCTCGTGTCGAGCACCAGGCACTTGGTGAAACAGTGTGTGTTTTTTTTTTTGGACCTGGCCTGTGTTTCTGGCCAATGAAGTGCCGGCCACGTTGCTCATTTTTGTGTTTTAGGGCGATGGAAGGACTCTTTGGAGAGACCAAAGACCAAAGACAATATTATTGTAGCATCCCTTCACAGTGTGTTTGCACTTCCTACGGCAGAGCCTTGC